GAAACCACATGGCTAGACCTAGCAGCCACACGGCCGTGTGGCGTGGCCATGTGGAATTCCATTGCGCGGGCAAACCACACTGGCTGTGTACCGGGTCCCTTGAGGCCGTGTGAAAATCACAGAGATGTCACACGGCCAGGCCGAGATTTCACACGGCCGTGCAGTTCTGGCCTTATAGTCGGCAAATTCTGGGTTATAATCCAATTTCGGGTCTTTTGGATGAGGATCGAGTTTTTTAGCAAAAAACAGAGCTTTAGAGAGAGAAAGTGCGAAGAACAATCCCTAGGAGCTATTTGGAGTGGATTTCTCACCATTGAAGCCTAGGTTGCATCCCCAGGAGTGAAGATCGACATCCCAGAGCAGATTATCCCCATATTTATGAGTATGACTGCTCTGATTTCAGTTTTCCTCTCTCTCTCTCTCTCTCTCTCCATGGAGTAGAAACCTCTCTCACTTGGGTATGAAGAACCCTAGTTCCATGTGTTAGGAATCTTGATTGTAATGTGTTTGGATTGATATACTAATTTATTTTAATCGATTGATGCATGATTCATTGAGTCAATTGAAGTCTGATCGTCTTTTCTTGATTTCTGATGGAACCCGAGATAGATAGAATCTGATTAGGTTGTTAGAGCTTCATCAATCGGTAGTGGTCGATTGGTTTTACGAGAGTTAATCGATTGGTTATACCAGTAGTGGAGTTCTGTGCTTATTGCCATAACAGTCTATCCCCGTGAAGGCTAGTCGTCTGCCGGTTAGTCTGCCTGAGAGGGCTTCATCAGCTTAAGAGATTCCAAGCTACTGTCGGATCTACCACAGTTTAATCAATAGTTAATCAACCCAAGTTAATTACAACCTTGACCTAACTAAGGAGCTAGGGGGACTCATTCCCGAGTGACTCTTCCTTTGCTAAAGAACTTTGAACCATTTACTGCGTTCTTACTGCTTTTACTTAAAATCACAATCACTCGACTTAGTTTGCTAGATAATAGATACTCACGGAGTAGGCAGTAGATCTAGACCCCAGGTTGACAAATAGAGTTTGCCACTTTACTGCATTTCCGGACTCCGATTACACTTGGTCGCATTTTGGTGTTGTGTTTTAGCATGTCAGGCGGCAAAACAGAAGGTTGACTTATTGAAGACAAAAGAAAACACATCGTTGATGGTTGGGTTGCATCCCACCAAGTGCTTCTTTAACATCGTGAGTCGGACGGTTGCTCTTCAAGTTTTGGTCCACCCAAGAACCTCCTTGAAGTTGAGGTTCTCGTCGGTTAGGTGATGTCTCAAGTCACAACCATTGGACGAGTCCATGATTGAGGGCTCGTGAACTTGAGTGGTTTTGAGGCTCCACCCACGAGACCTCTCCTTCTTTCCTTCTTCACTTTTCTCTTTGCCCCACACCATGTAATGCATCATCAATTTACCACCATCACATCCATCTAGAGGGATCGCCGATGGTTTGGCCTTAGCTTGGCAAAGAGCCGCAAATGGGTCCTTCTCCAAAAGCGCATCGAGGTCGGGTGGAAATCTTTCGTCGTACTTGTAACTTGTTGAAGCTTCATCCACCATGACCTCGTCTTCATCTTGGACATCACTTGTTCCTTCTACTTCTTCCTCAACCTCCCTTCCTTCTTCATCAGTTCCCTCCTTATGGGAACACTCGAGATCTTCCTCCTCTTTAATGCTCGCTTCCTCCTCTTCAACCTCTTCTTTCTCCTTCCCCTTCATGTCTTTAAGCACTGTTTGGAGGGCAAGATTCCATGCAAGATCATATAAAGGATTTTCTTGCTCCTCTAGACTCGTGACTTTGTCTTCAAAGTTGCTCTTAGGAAGGGGAAGATGATGGTTGTCATTGAGCGCCCCTTCGTCTTCACCACGGGAGCTCTCTGGGGTGATTTCTTCTTGCTCCACATGGTTGTCATTGAGCGCCCCTTAAACCTCCTCTTTCTCTCCAATAATGAGAGGCGATAACTTTCACAAGCTCGTGCCACTTTCTCTTCTAGTGTCAAACCGGAAGAAGGGAGGGGTTGGAAATCCATGTCGGAGCTCGTTCTTCCAAAATTCTCATGGCTCGCCTCTTCGACTTTCTCTCTTTCTTCCAATGGTAGGAGGAAATTGTGAGCAAGTTGTGCACATGCTTGCTCTAGAAGCCCTCCTAGCCTCTATGTGCGTCGACGAAGCTCCTCCGCCTCATTAAGAAAGGTTGAGTCGATAGGGTTGGCGATTGGGAGTTCCTTGCTAGAGGACCCTTCATCGGTGCCCCGGGCGAATCGCTCCACCATGAGCTCTAATTTTCTCTTTGGCTCCGGTTGTGGAGGGACACATAGTCTCGATGATTGTCCCGTGAAAGCTTCCATGGCCAACTCCAACTTGGATTTCTCCTTGGGTTGTGGAGGGAAACCTTCTTGATATGGGGAAGCCTTTTCATACCCCCAATGGTATGGTTGTTCTTCTTGGAAGCGGGGTTGGTAATAGAACCCAGATCCTTGACTTCCCCCTTCTTGTTCACTCCATGAAGCTCCGGGGTGTAACACCCTACCCTGTACGTTTTTCCTAATCATATTGTTCATACATTTGCAGCGGAAATAATCTCGGGTGTTACATTAATTATCACAATTTACCCAAATAAATTTTCGACATGAATTACTCGTGTAATGGGCTAACAGTTCTTGCAACTAGACCTGCAAAATAATTCATTCGAATCCCTACATTCATAGACATACATATATACTCACAACCATGTACATTGGCTTTCATAGCTATAGTCACACTGTCGTACTCTGCAACTACATACCATACTTATACATGTCATAATCGTCACAACTTACACCACCACACACATATACACATATAATTAAATTTCCACACCTGTGGATATCTCACACTACATCAAAAGCTAGTATGCACATGAAAATGTTCTCAAAATATATTTACAAAAAGGTGTGGATCACTGGCCAAAATCCCGAGTAGTAGTCTAAGCACAAAATAGTTGAAGACCATACCTCATCTTGGCTTCAACTCTAGCTCAGCTCCCACCTATACACCTATCTACTGCTGATGATGATGATCTGCTTACACATAGCATAAGTAGAGAAAAAGGATAAAGAAGGTCAGCTCATAGCTGAGTGAGATAATCACAGCATTGTGAGTTCATAACAGAGCATACCCCTACCATACATCTAGCAAACAAGCCAAGACACTAGGATCGTACCTCAGCCATCCTCATGTCCCAATGGGCAAAAGACTCAACCACCTTGACTTATGCATATGCGTCTTATCATGTTTTACTTATAGGCGCCTGGCTACTCCCATGCTAATAACTCTCCCGGGAAACATACCCCACATCCCGTCGGATGTAGTCATACATACCTCAACATCCCGTCGGATGTGGTCATACATACCCCACACCACTATGGGTGTAGTCATACCCCGACACTCCTCTGGGTGTGGTCATATCTCATAAGAATTCTTCAGTCACCACCACATGAGGGGTGTGACTATCATACATATCATAATAGAGTAATAGCATAGGGAGCCCTAATTACTATGTAGTTGACCGTGAGACCACAACACTCATATTTGGTATCCTTATACATGATTCATATCTCATCTTGCTTAATCATAATTCATTACTTGCACATGTACTTGACATGGCCACAATTGACTCAACATAGGTAAATCAGGAGTCGTATAATTGCACTTCTTCGGGATAAACCCTCGTGCCAGTCATCCTCCTTAAACGTCATAATATCACCAGGGAATATATATTTTCCCACATGTGCATCAAAATACAACAATCATGAAAAATCATACCCAAGCACCTTTTCGAACAATCATAAGGCATAATCAACAGTCAAGCCCACAATTTGCAACATATACGAAATCATCAGCATAAACAAGGTCCATCTCGATTAGGGCAAGTCAATAATATCATACAGTAGTCCATGATTCATCATATAGAGCAAAAGTTCATACACCCTTAATCATGCCATTCTAGTTCACCTAGGTTAATTCTAAGCATCAATATAATTATCGTGATACGACAAACCCGGTATGCCGTGCTAATCCCTCACCAGTTCTGGTCGTTCAAACCCGGTATCCCCGTCAATATTAGTTCTAGGCTCCGGGTCAAATTCTTGATAAAAACACTTCAAACCCTGGTCGGAGCTAAATTCAGCGATTTGGACCCCGACTTAAATAATTACCGAAATTCAAGGATTAGAACTAGAGGATTGATTACCTCGCTGCTGGAAGCTCGTATATGAAATTTGGACTTAATCCGGCTTCCGGATCTTCTAAAGCCCTAATCCCTACGATTGGAGAATCAAGAATTTATTGGCTGAAAACTCAGTTATAAGCTAAGAAAACGATGACTAAGCTACACAGAAGGATTACCTAATGAAAGCTCAAATTTTGGATCACTAGAACCAAAGGATCAAGCTCGTCGATTTCCTCCGTACGTTCCTGTTCCTGCTCTCTGTTCTTCGGTTTATGGAAATGAGATAATGGAACCGAAGGAAAAAAAGAAAGATGGATATATATAAATGAAATGGTTGGCGGGGCAATCCTATACTGCTTCACTATATTAAATTTTGCTTGCTTTGCTTACTTTTTCTTTCCATCATACACTACTAGTGTGTAGATATATATATATATATATATATATATTTAATACGTATACTTATCGGATCGATCGAGAATCCGATTTCGCTGAAATACTATCAAAACGATCAATTTTAAATCGTGAATTCTAGTCACCGAAATACGATTCTGCCGGAATGGGATGTTACACGGGGTACCCCCATTCGGGTGGTTGTGGATACCCCCAACTATTGTAGAAGCCATTGGGATCCATGATTCATAACCTACACAAACAAAAACAAAAAAAACAAAATCAAACAAACACAAACCACCCTTCCAAGAGAAGAGTGAGTAAACAAAACACAACACGAAACACAAAACACACACAAAAAGGCAAGATTTAAAATACTATAGTAACACTAAGCGACCTTTTCTTGATAACGGACCGTAAGGTCCTCGGCAATGGCGCCAAAAACTTGACTCGCACGAAACTACACCACAAATTAATGACGACTAGAGCCCAAGTTTTTAAACTCTAGACGGACGCAGTATAGAGTAAGTATTTAAATTGTCAACCCGGGCCGATCCATGTACCCCTACTTCTAGGGCCCCGGTTTTCTAGTGAAACCAGAAACCGGCCAGTTCAAACCATTCCGGTTGTAACTGGAAACCAGATCCCAACCAATCCAATCCTGTTTGCGGTTGTAATGACCACTAATCCGGCCCGATCCTGTTAAAAAATAAACAAACCCCAGCCCCAGCCCAGCTCGTTAATAGCCGAGTCCACAACCCAGTCCCCACCCCCACCACCCCAACCCCTAATTGATTTCTCTCCCCCTCTGACCCCAAAGCTACTCTCATTCCCAAATCCCAATCACCGACCCACTACACGAAGGGGAGGAGAAAAAGAAGAAAACCCAAGCTCTTCTTGTCGTCCGATCTGACTTCTTCAGGTCCTCTGCTCACGACGGGGAGTCGGGGATGATGGACGCAAGGAGCTCTCCAACTTCCCAACACACGACGGCGACGGTGAGGAGATCGATGAACACATCGAAGCGAATCAGAAAAAGATCAACAATAGCGGCTAATTTGTTGAAGGGAATCAGATGGAGGAGACGAACGACGGCGGCCAATTTGGTAAAGGGAAACGACTCCTCCATCAAACACCTCACTAATCGACGACTTCCATCGGTAGACGAAGACAGCGATTCGGCGATTCTAGCACGCAGGCAAGACAAATCCTCTGCTGGACGAATCGTGAGCAAGAAGTCTGCGTGCATCTCCTTCCGATTTGGTTAGGGCTTAGGGGATGGGATTGGGTATTTGGGTTGACGAAGGCGGAACAGAAGAGAAGATGGATTATATTTAATTTGTTTGTTTCTTTAGCTTAGAGAAGAAGCAAATGGTAGATCCAGCGTGAAGAAGAAGCAGAAATCTCTCTTCTCCTTCCCATTTATTTTTTATTTGGTTTTTGTATAAACGGAAACGTTTTGGTGAAGGTTAATGACAACCCGGTTTTTGGGTTAAAACCAGACCGGATCAATTCGGTCACGGTTGAAACTGGGTCCCCATCCGGTCTAGTTTAACAGCACCAAACCGTTTCCCACCCCTACCTACTTAAATCTCTTAACTTTTTAGCTAGCAAAACGGTTTTGGGTTTTCAAACTAAGAAAACTACAAACTAAACAAGCAAAGAGAGTAAATTGAGGGGAATTCTATATGAGAGGACCTCACTTGGGTGTTGCTTCCCCCTAACTACTACCATGGTATCTGAATTGAAACGATTTCTATGGCCAAGGTAACCGCTAAGTGCAGAGGGATGCAAATATGGTCGTAGATCACACTCTCGATTGCTAAACCGAGGTATACATTATAGGCCGTGTCACTCGGCCCTCTTGATTTAGGAAATCAGTGGTTGACGTACTCCCTCACTTAACTCAAGGGTTGGACGGCATACTCGCGCTTAACCAATTTGCTTAATTTAGCATTGAGGTTTTCCCTAAATTAACCTAGTTAGGTGACTTAAAAAGCTAAAGGAAAACCAACTCGATTGAGTCTCACTTGAAAGGGAGAATTTGCTCTCTAATCTAGGTTAAAGTGACTAATTAGATTGCTAAGAACCAAAATGCACAAACCTAAGGATGCTAAGCACGGCTAGGGTTTACAACACCCAAGTGAATAGGTAGGCTATTCCATAGCTAACCAAGAGAAAACAACAAAAAGAGAAGAAAAAACCATGAAGTGATGTCAATTTTTCCTTGTTGCTTGAGACACCCTTGATATGAAGAAATCTTCAATCCTCTAGCTAGGAACAAGCCTGAAGCTCCTTCTTCCTCCTTTGATTTGCACTTTCTCACTCTAGAAGAAACTCTAACCTCTCACTAGAATCCTCTTCATTCTGAAAATGAAAACCTAACCTAAAAATGAAGCTCCCCTTTATCCTTTAGATCCCCTCTCCTTTAATACCCAAATCAGGCTCAGTTCAAGGTCTTAGAGCTGAGTTCAAGGACACGTTGATTGACACGCCAAAACACAACACCAATCTGCGACCAAGTGTAATCGCAGACCGGGAATGCAGTAACAGGCAAGTTATATTATCAACCCGGGGTCTAGATCTACTGCTTACTCAGTGATTCTCTGTTATCTAGCCAACTAGAGTAAGTGATTGTTGTTTAAACTAAAAGCAGAAATAAAGCAGGAAATTATTCGGTTTTCTTAAGCAGGAAAGAGTCACTCGGGAATGAATCCCCCTAGCTCCTTAGTTAGGTTCAATTGCAACTCCCTGGGTTGATTTACTGTTGATTAGACTGCGGAAGATCCGACAGTAGCTTGGAATCTCTTAAGCTGACCAAGCCCTCTCAGTCTAACTACCCGGCAGACGACTAGTCTTCACCGGGATAGAAAGCTGAAGCAGTAAGAACAGAAATTCACTACTGGAATTAGATTCCAGTACAGAGCAGTAAACTGGCTAACTCTCGTATAACCAGTCTCCTACTATCGAATGATGAGACTCTAGCAACCTAATCAGATTCTATCTATCTCAGATTGCAGCAGGAATCAGGAAAAGTTGATCAGACTTCAATTGACTCAATAAACATGCATCATTCGATTATAATCAAACAGTAATATCATCCCAAGTCATTACAATCAATCCCCTAACACATAGAACTAGGGTTATTCATCCCCAAGTGAGAGAGAGGTTCTACTCCATAGAGAGAGAAAAGAAAACAGTAATCGGAGTAGTCATACTCATAATGATGAGGAAAATCTGCTCCGGGATGATGATTTCCACTCCTAGGACGATCTCCAAGCTTGAATTGATGAAATCCAGCTCCAAGATGGCTTCTAGGGTGAGTTCTTCGCACTTTCTCTCTCTAGGGCTCTGTTTTTGCTCAAGAAATTTGATCTCCCCTTCCTTGGCTCGATTCTGGCCTCAAAAACCCGACTCTGGGCAAATTACGGGCTGAATTACGGCCGTAATCACGTCCTGCCCGTAATTCGCCCCAAAACGCACGTTTCAATTAAGCTGAAGGAGGAGAAGATACGCCCGTAATTTCACAATTACCGCCAGTAATTTGGGAATTACGGTCGTAATTCTTGGGAGTCTTGCCCGTAATTTTATCACCGAGAGGAAATTCTGGGGAAAAGGCTCGGCAATTGTTTTACGGGCATGCCCTGACCAATTACGGTCGTAATTTGGCAGGGGCTGCCCGTAATTCGTTCTGTGATTCGCCATCTGACCTCCGAATGACCTGAAACTTGCGCCTATGCACCTCTGTACTTGCTAGGACCTGAAATATGGCAAAACAACACAACCTAGCGTAAAATAGGCCAAGCAACAATCAATTCGAGCCAAAATGGACAAGAAATCCGAGTGAAAACACGTGCAAATACGATGCTATCAAATTCCCCCACACTTAACCGTTTGCTTGTCCCCAAGCAAACCAAGTCAGACACAAGGTAAGCTCACATATTTCAATCAACAAACATTGGGGACAAGTCATAAAGGCACAGAACACGTGAATCGAACTGGTTTCCAAACAGCAATACATGACCAACTTCAATAGCAAACTGGACAACCACCACAAAGGACATTCGAGTGCAGCAAAATCGAGTAAAGGAAGAGTCTCCCTTCTGTTCACCAACCAACCTAGACTTGACTCAACCACTTACTCAAAACAGTCAACTCATGCATCCAACTCATGACATCAGAATAGAGACCGAGCAATCTAGGTCCTCACCAGGGTACAAGAGTATATAGAATATGAAAATGAATCACTCACTCTCGACCAGTGGGGTCAGGACAATTTGATGCGAAAAATGCGCATGCTATTTCTCTCAATCCCTAACATCTCTTCACCATGATGGCAGCCTCTAAATGCTAGAGCTCACATATGGGGTGTCACCACTAACTAATCAGGAGGTTTTAGACACAGGTTCAAATGACTGGCTAGGGTCTTGGACATGGGGAAAAGGCCTTTTAAGTGGTGGAAGTATTCATAGCACAAGGTTCCACATTTCCAAACCCAAACAATCAAAGTCAAACAAACCGGTATTTCCTTTCTGCTATTCTGCATTACTCAATATCTCAATAGCACAAGAGCGAAGGAGGTATAAATGTCAGTATTTCCAAGCCAGACTGCTAAGAAACACTACTTACTGGGCATTATTCAGATTTTTGGTAGTGGCTCTCTTTGCTTTCAATTTTTCTTTGTTTTTCTTTCATTTTCTTTTCATTTATTAAGAGAGCCACCACTTCTGCACATATTTCAAACATCTGCCCAACTTTTTGGCACTACCTCCAACACTCACATTCAATTTAGCAGAAACAGCAGAGAATCTGTAAAAACCACTCTGTGGAACCTTCTAAAAGATGCAAAAGGGTGATTTTTTCATTATAGACCAAAAAGAAAGGATAACACACGGCTCAAAGGGGCTGACTAGAGGGTATGACACATCAGGACAGTCAAATTTGGTCGTGGGCTAATCCTATGCCCCCATCATCCTAGCTAGTGACAACGTGAATGCTACACATCATGGAAGAGGGATCTATCGCACAAGAAAGAAACGAGCAGGCTCAAATCTCACATGGCTACCTATATGCTCTATCTCACATTCTGATACCCTGAACTAGATGCATAAACGACTGTCAAGACAAGTGATCAGATCAAGTCACAGTTGGTAAGCACACAGTTTAAAAACTGAACCCCTACATCGTTCTACTGCACATCTCAGCCCTCATCATAGGTTGTCCTAGTCACCACCAAGTTGTCATGCATTAATCCGAAAACCGTTCAATTCCTCAATCAAAACATAGTGCCAATATGATCAAACAGCAGTACTTGGAGCCCTCAAATCGTAAGATTCGGACAGCGGACTAGGCTCCAAGCACCCATATATACGTTCCAATAAATACAAAGAACCCCCCCCCCCCCCCCACACACTTAAATGCGACAGTGTCCTCAATGGAGCCGAGGGAAGGGGAACGATGTTACCGTGAAACAGTGGTCAGGAACGTTGACTGGATGGCGGACCAGTCAAAAGCAGAGGACTGGACAAGGACCAGTCCGACGGGCACAGAGCTAGAACCAACAGAACACACACATGGGGTGAAATAAAACATAGTTCCAAGTCAACAATCCACACAATACGGAACAAGGAATAAAAACCAAACACAATACGGAGTCTAAGTCTGGAAAGATAGACAAAAGCGAAGCCCAACTCGATGGGCTAGCAAAGCCAGCTCAGTACTCATCCCCTCCATCGCCGGTCGGGGGCGGGTAGTTGTCCTCATGCCCCGGGGACGCCTCCCAAGGGTAGCTAACAGCAGCAGGATCCATGTTCCAGTAGCTCATCATGTAATGCTGAGCTGAGATGATGCGGCGGCGACCTTCGCGCTCACGGTCGAGGCGGGCGTTGAGGTGCTCCTGGCCAAGAAGGATATGCTCATTCTGGCGGGAAAGGGCCGCCAGCTGCTCGGCAATGTAAGTGGTGGGGGCGGCAGCAGATGGGCCGGCAGCAGAGGTGGAGGCGTCAGGCGCAGAAGGAGTGTTCCGCCGACGACGCTTGGCCCGACTGGCCGCAGCAGCACTCGCCTCAGGGAGTTCCTCACCAGCTGGTGCACGAGGAACAGGGCGAGGAAGGCCCCGGATCCAGGTCACGTCCCCCTCCTTCTCTAGTATCAGCTGGCGCCGTAGGGTGTCCCTGGAGAAGGGCTTCGCCTCCTGGATGAGAGTGAACCTGGAGAGGTCGATGTTGTAGTACCGTGCCAGGGCAGTGACCACCGGCCCACACGCCAGGGGTCGACCACACCGAGAAGCCCTGACGACAGTCCTGGCGATGAGGGAGGACAGATGGAGGTTTTCCACCTCGTGGCTCATCGAGTGCAGGCAATGCAAGGTGCGGAGCTGAAGATGACTGGTGGAGCCCTCGCTGGGGGTGTAAGACTTC